TAATGAGATATGGTGTTACTTTCACTAGTTTATTACTACGAGCGCTTGGATTGAGCATTGTTTTAAGGCAGTTTTTAGTTGTGGAACTTTGGTACAGTATTAATTCTTTAGGTTGTGAAATGTATCTTGAGCGTTCTGAACAAAAACTAATGATTTTATTTCAAGCTTCAAAGGGTAGATTGATACTAGAATGACAAATTTATAGGGAAAGAAAGTCCTAGTGAATATACTTGGGGGAACTAAATTGAAGACTTTAGTAAGAAAATGCTTATAAAATTGAGTTAGTCCCTTAAATTTGATTGGTATACTTGAGTTTAAGGTGTCAGGTCGAGGAAAAAGTTCATTTCTTGGTGATGAAAAGGCCTAGCTAAGAATGATAGTAAAAAGAGTTTGTAAGGAGTTATAACTGGGATGAAACTATATAATAAAAATTTGTCGGTTAAATGAACTTTGTATGGTAATAAATACTGGTGAGTATCTAAGGTTTTGATTTTCTACTATTTAGTAATTAATGTTATTGTATGTCAAGTATTAGGAGACGTTGGGGAACCACTCAAATAGAATTTAAAGAAACTAGAATCATTATTAAAATAAAATAAGCGGGATGACTGTAGCCCTCAAATAGAGGTGAGGGCAATAATATTTTTCTGATTGCAAGGGCTAAAGAGGTATCTTCAATAGGTTGAGAATTGACTTCAAAGACGTGCGGTGTCATATATTTTACTATCGCTATTGTAATAGTGTCACGGATTTATCATATTGATGACTTAATAAAGGAATGTGTAAGCATTGAGCTCGAGTGTGATGATAAGTTCTCTTGTGGGTTTTAGTTTGTTAATGACTACATTTGGATTTTTAGTGAAGGCTATGATAAGGTCGATGAAGAGGTGATCAATGATAAGTTAAGATATATAACTTCATAAAATCTTCAAGGTATGAGCTATGTTGATAGAAAAGGAGATGGAGTTATAGATTTACAATTTGAGTTTTTCATTATTAGTCTACATTAGTGGTGGTATGTTTATCAAGGTATGGATTGGTAAAGTAAGAAATGACTAATCACATTTAGTATGGAGCATTTGTAAGGACTTGTGCATAATTTGAGTCAAAAATTTGGTTAGTTTTGATTGTTATAGGGCTTCCCGTAATGTTTTGATTTAAATGCTAAGGTTAAAATGTCAAGGATTTTTTTTACCAAAGAATAATTTTGGTAAGCGAGTCAACAAAAAAAAGAGAGAGTCTGACATGTTGAAGGGTTGAGATATTAAGAATTTTGCAGCATGGGAAGAATCTGAAAAAAAAAAAGGTGAAAGAATAAGACTTCTTGTATGAATCCTTGGGGTGAAGCTGAAGATTGTATTGATTATAATTTTATTTTATTTTCTATGAGTTTTGATATGATTATGAGATGTGAACTAGTTTGGTACAGACTTACTAGGAACTTATCATCGACTTTTATAAAGATTGAGTTTTGATTTGGGTGACAAACAACGAGTCGTGGAAAATTTAGTGTTTTACATGGGGTTATATTGCTTAAATTATGATATATGACTTAATAATGATGTACAAGGTGAAATGTAATTCTATATGGTTATTAAGAATTTATAGTTGGGTTAACACTAATCTATCGATGGAACTACATAGAATGTTAAGATGTGTTACATAGACGTTTGATGGTGATGCACTTAAGGTGATACATGCTTTAATTAAGAGGAGACATAGCTCCTCCGTTGATTGGGTTGATGCACTTAAGGTAAGACCATGGGAGACAGAGCATGATATGCACATGTTTTTGTCGACTAGACATTGGCACGCGCGTTGCGCGTGTGCCTCGTGTATATGAGTATAAAAACTTAAAAATATAATTACACAAATACAATTAAAAATGGATTTGAATAATTGAATGATTTTCATTAAAAAAAATATAATATTTTAAAGATATGAATATATATCATATTTAGTTATTAAATAGATAAGAAACATTGTTATGCAATATTCCCATATGCTTTAGTCTTTAGTATATATAAGTGATGTATGTGCTTCAAGTGTGTAAAAAAAGTACCATATTGAGTTGAGTTATATATATATTGAACATGATAGTAATTTTGATTATTTATTTGTAATCTTAAGATTTCTTTGACGAAATTACATGCAAGTCTAAACAAGAAGTTGGAACATTAATATGCTACAACACATAATTTAAAGGCCGACATTATAGTTACAAAATATTATATATGTTAAAGCTTCTGCCTTCTTTTTAAGGAATAATAGCCTCCGCCTTTTTAAAGATGCATACATATCGATAACTTGTCGTCGAAGGAAAGTGGTGTTTTGTAATTGTTGTAGAGAAATTCGATCGACATATGTCTTCCTTAGGATGACTATAGATCACTATCAATTTCATAGTAAACACCTACAAAATAAAGGTATTTATTTGTTATAAAATAATCATTGATTAAATATGTAATTAACATATATAAATAATTGTTATATATATCCTTCGTCTTCTTTGGCTCATTCAAAATTATTAATTCTGCCATCTGTAAATTTTGACCAAAGAATTTTTTGTCAAGTTATATACATATAATTGAATTATGAAATACAACACAATCATTTGTCAATTTCAACAATATGGTAGGAAATATAAAACAATATAAACCAAAAAGTATATGACACTTTTGAAGGTACCTGCAGAACTCAATTTCCCAAATCTCCAATTCATACACCAAAAAAACTAAATAGAAGCATAAATAACACAATATCTAGATTTCAAAATAAATAGGAAAGTTAAGCTTATTGATAAAAAATTTGTTCATGAATGGATAGAAACGCATCAATATACGTTGTAAAAAATAAAAATTTAAGGTATGGTGTATTTTTAACAAAATTTAAGGTATGGTGTATATACTTGTACCATGTTTTGTCAATGAGGGCATGGAGATTTATGACAACATAAACTTCTTCCTCTCTACTAAGTTTCTGGAATTTTATGTATACATGAACTTAAGTAAACATGCAGCGACAGAACCCCACGGCATAATACCTAAATCAAAGCTAGAACTGCTATCAGGAGCAAGACATAAAAAGCAACTACAACGAATATGTATATAAAAAGTTATGGTGAGATACCTACCATTTGGACAAAATCTATCTTTTTATATCTTGTTTACCTATTTTTAGCGGCAATTAGTACTGTTAGCGATATTGGTTCTAATTACACTTCATTAATGCTGGTACAGACTTTAACACTCTTTATTAATGTCTATATTTATTACCTCTAAAAGTTATTTTTGTCGTAGTATGATCAAGTTCAACTAAGTGGGAGCGTGATTAGATCAAAAACATTTACTGGTGTGGCGGCTCTCTGCAGGAGAAGAGCTACCAAACCAAGCCAAGCTCTGCCGGAGCAGTTGTACAAGGAGTTTCACATTTTTGTAAGTCCTCGACCTGTCGATAAGATAAATTTTAGATTTTTGCGGATACAAACAAATATGCTACCCAATCAGAAATCACACTTTGGCCTCAACATAATCAATAAAACAACCAATGTAGGTTGTCCAGAGGAAATGTTGATTGAATCCAACACAACAACTAAAAAACCACTTAAAACAAGCAAATAACGAAGCTTCCCAAAACCAAACCAGCAATTACAAGATAAAAACAAGTCCTACTAGACCAAACTAAAACTTTGAGAGCTAATGACGCTATTAAAAATTCCATCCGGTTAATTTAGAATGTTGATCGAACTCAACCCTTTCAACACAAAAATATCCAAATGAGAAAAACACATACCAAAAACTCTCCCTAAAACCTCAAGAAGAGAGCCACCCACGTCAATAATATATAAATACCTAATAGAAGCTAGAGAAGGGGAAAATAGTAAGCAAAATAAAAACCAAGAAATGGACCGTGAGGGTCATTACAACATCCACTATTAAAATAACTTAAATCTTAAAAGTTAGAGAAAAAAAAGTACCCACAAGGTTAAAAAAGGTAAGGATATTTGGTCTGTATATCTAGATTAGCTTAGCAAGCAGCCTCCCTCGGAAAAACCATAGAATCAAGGACTCGTCATGTTGAACCAAATTCCACTTAAGCATGTGAGACATATTTAAACATACTGTCCCAACATAGATACATAAAAGATAAGGTCAATAACCCAAAAGTCTCAAGATAAGTCTGACTCCTAATAAGCCACCTTCATAACAAACTGCAAAAATCTCAAAAGGTTTGATGAACCTAGGGTCGAGCTTTCCCTTTCGATCAAACCTCATCATGCCTTTTATGGTTGACACCAACATAAACACTCGATCTCTCACTACAAAAAAATTGTTTTTACTGACGGACGAAATTCGTCGCTAAATAGCTTATTTCATCGCTATTTTGGTTTAGCGATGGAATAGCGACGAAAACTCATCTATCGGTATTATGCGCGTAGCTTAGAACTTAGCAACAAAAAATCATATCTGTCGTAAGTTTAGCGACTGATGGGCGACGAATCTCCTCCGTAGTTAAAACTAACGACCAAAAATACCGTCGTTATATTTGTAATTTTTGTCGCTAGTTCAATAAGCTATTTCACTGTGTCATCGTATTGACATCAAAAATTTGTCGTTAATTCCGTCGCTATTACTTTTTATACATGTCTAGCTACAAAAATATGGTTTGAAAACCGTCGCTAAGTCTGTCGGAATTACTTTTTATATTTAAGTCTTCTCATAGCAAAAAAATATTGTAGCGAATTTGTCGCTAATTTCGTCGCCGTTACATTTTATACATTTTATTATTGCGAATCGTATTCAAACATACCTTATAAAGTTGCAAAATTAACTTAATTCATAGAGACTAATAATCTTCATTATCCAGAACACATAAAAAACTACAGAGTGCATAAACAAGTTTAAAACAAACCCAACAATAATTTTCAAGCAAAAAGACAGTAATTGCAACAAAATAATATCTAGCCGACAAAACTGACTAAGAGAGATTGGAGAACCACATTAATCTTCATCCGAAACTGATGCATGAGCCTCATTAACATTAGCTGGAGTGGAAGTTAAAGGAGTCATGTGTGTGTTTGGCTGAGATGAGGTTGAAGAAATCAATCCACGTAAACGCTCAAAAAGTACAGGAACCATTTGATCAGTCAGTGAAGGAATCAATCGTGTCATAAAGTCATCCAAATTTTCTGTTGCTATTGTTTGAGCATTGGTACATGATACTGAGGATGAAGCATCAGTTCCAAAAGCTGAGGGACAAAGATTAGTCCCATAAAATGATTTATCTTGCGCTCCAAGACCATATACCCTTCTTTTCTTTTCCCCTCCAGTGGCTTGATAATATGCTTGCAAATGATCAACATCAGATTGAGTTTGTGTTTAATTCTTTAATATTTCTAGATACTTTTCTTGTAAAAGACAATGATAATCAGTGAAATTCATTAACAACAACACCAACAATAACAATAAGCCAAATCACAACAATAACAATAAGCCAAATTAAGTTTATGGCGATAGCTTAGACAACTTTTTATTTGCATATTCAAGCCTTTCTATAATATATTTTGCTCTTTTTTTTGCCCACAGAGAATGCACGACTTATGTATTTATTGTGCCATATATATCCAACAATTCTCGCCTTGGAAGCAGCCGATATATAATGAAGACTAAGAAGACATATGGTCAGACATGTGTTTGACAGCAATAGACAATATGGTATTGGACAATGAAAGCCAATGACTTATAACATATTGATGTACAGATTTAGGATCCTTTTTTTTTAAAATTCGCGGGAAGGTATAGAAAACATGAATGACTTTATAACTTTCTCAAGCATCCCATTGTCTCCATCAACTTCCATAGTAGATTGGTAAGCCAACCAAAGTGACTCAAGAACATATGCATCTGGATATGTTCAGAATGGGTGGCTCAAACGAGTAGGAAAATACACTATCAAGAGTTACTATATGTGGAGAAGGAACTCGCTCTCTAATCGACATAACTCTTTTGCCTACTCTAAGTAGTACGAGCCTCTCCTGAATCGCCCAACTTTATCCATAAGTCAGTGACCTAAGGGCCTAATTTCAAAAGCATTAAACTACCATATCAAAGATTGACCTCCTACTATATAATGTCTCAAATAGAGCCATTTGAATGCTCAAACATTAGCTATTATTATTTGCAAACTCTACCAAAGCAAAAACTAGTCCCACATACCTCCAAAATAAATTACACAAGCCCAATCCATATCTTCCACAACCTAAATAGTCCTTTTTGAACTGTCTGCGAATGAAATGTTGTGCCAAGATCGACCCAGGTACCAATTCTCTCTGAGTCAACCTCCAAACATATGATGTGAATTAAGGGCCATGATACGAAAAGATAGACATTGACACCCCTTGCAAATTTATACAATCTCATGAATGCAACCTCTCGAAAAAGTATTAAGTCTAAAGTGGTAGAACGTGAGAAGACTTGGTAAAACTATACCCAAATAACATCAAATGTACGGAAAGTTTATGGCAATCCAACCATGAAATCTATATCTATCCATTCCTACTTCACTCGAGAATGGGTAGTCTTTGAGTCAAATGACATTACCTCAAGTGCTCATACTTCACCTACTGACAATTCAAGTACTTATACATAAACTTTGCAATATATCACTTATTAAAACACCACCATTAGACTACTACTACTTTTTTTCTTTCTCCTTCTCCTTCCCATTTCCCTTTCTTTCTCATTCTTATTCTTCTTACTAGTTTCTGGAGACGTGCCTTGCACGTGTATTCCATCTTTTTTTTTAATAAATTTGTTAGAATGATTAAAATTTTATGAAGTCATGTGTGTAATGATTAGTACAAAAATGCAACAATGTCAAAAAAATGTTATGATAATATAATCTTTTCATAGAAAATTAAATTAAAGAAGAATGATAGAGAGAAAATATAAAAAATAAACATAGAAGGAAAAGACAATATACAATAATTTTTGCATACCAAATTTATTTTGTAGAACCATACCTTAACTTCAAAAAATCAATGAAATAAATTTCAGAACAATGTCAAATGATACATAATTATATAAAAGATGAGTTGCATACTAAGTTTATTTTGGACAATCATACTTCAACTCCAAAATGAAAAAGAAAAACTTAAATCATAAGCTAACATAAAAAAGATCTAAAGAAATATATATGTCATATCTTATACTTCTAAACTTAACACTTGAACTATATTGTAAGAAAACTTCTCCCTTTAATTTTGAAGGAATATTGATTGTATTGAAGTGTTAAGGGAATACATGGGAGATATATATAGGAGATATAGGAAGGAGTACTAATCCTAATAGGACTAGGATTAAGGAGTACTAATCCTAGTTCTACTAGGATTAGTACACAGTAAATACTAATATTATTTTATACTATTTATTTAATACTATCTGTTATTATCCCCCCTCAAGCTGAGCTGAGCGGAAGCGAACGGAAGCTTGGAACTGAGGTAATCGTGTTGTCGGCTCGGGAGAGGCTTGGTGAGAATATCAGCCGATTGTTCTTCAGTAGGTACATACTACACAGTCATGGTGCCGACCTGAACTTCATCACAAACAATGAGACAATCAGTATCAACATGCTTCATTCTGGTGTGTAGGACAGAATTCTTGGCCACACAAATGGTTGATTTGTTGTCACAATAGAGAGAAGGAACAGTGTGAGTGGCACGGAGTTCGTGAAGAATATATGTGACCCACATGGTCTCAGCAGCAAGAAGAGCAAGGGCGCGGTATTCAGCTTCAGTCGAGGACCGAGAGACCTTGGGTTTTTTTTGTACACCAGGAGATCAGGTTTGGCCCCAAAAAAACGAGAAACCCCAATGTAGATTTTTAGTCATTTTTATCATTCGCCCAATCTGAATTTGAGAAACCCCGAAGCTCCAAGTCCCCGAGTCGAATGAGTAAACCACGACCAAGAGTGCCAAAAATGTACCTGAGAATGCATTTTAGATAATGGTAATCATCTTCACTTGTTGATGCATGCGCTGAGCAACTCGGTTGACAGCAAACTGGATGTTAGGACGGGTAATGGCCAGATACTGTAGAGCCCCAATGAGGCTGCGGAAGTGGGTGATATCGGCAAAGGGGGTGTCGGCTCCATTCGTAGACGAAGAGACTGCCATTGGTGTTGGTTGACTGGTACATTTTTCCAGTCCAACTTTCTGCAACAGATCTCGAGCATATTTTGACTGATGAAGAAACAAGCGCTGCCTGTCCGAGAAACCTCCATTCTCAGAAAATAATGTAACGGGCCAAGGTCTTTCATTTTGAAGGTAGTATGCATAGCTCGAGTGACATCCTGAACGAAAGATGCAGTAGAGCCTGTAATAATGATATCATCTACATAGAAAATAAGAATGGTTGTACCGTGTGCTGAATGTCGAGTAAACAGACTCGTGTCGTGTACGCAACACGTGAAGCCGAGTCCCTGGAGGAACGTTTTCAGACGCATGTACCAAGCACGGGGGGCTTGCTTGAGCCCATACAGAGACTTCTGGAGTTTGCAAACATGTTGAGGGAAGCGGGGATCAACATAGCCCGGTGGTTGCGTCATGTAGATAGTTTCATCAAGCATGCCATGAAGAAAAGAATTGGAAACATCCAACTTATTGATGAGCCAATTATTGCGCACGGCGAGTGACAGTGCCAGGCGAATGGTTTCCTGCCGAATAACAGGACTGAATGTCTCGGAGTAATCAAGCCCATACTCCTGATTGTAGCCTTTAGGAACCAAACGAGCCTTGTACCTGGAAATACTGCCATCTGCATTGTGTTTAATTTTGTACACCCATTTACAGCCCACTGGGTGCCTCCCATGGGGCTTAGGTACAAGAACCCAAGTTTTCTTATCAGTCAAAGCCTTAAACTCGTCATCCATAGCATGACGCCAATAAGCATTTTTTGAGGCAACAGAGTAGGTTGTTGGTTCACTATCGGGAAGGGTGTATTTGGTAGTATGGTAGCCTGAAAGGTTTTGAGTTTAAAGATACCGGCTTTGCCACGGGTTAACATGGGATGAGTATTAGGGGGTGGCACAAGCAGTGGTAATTAGGGGGTGGCCGGGAAGGACCCAAAACGGATCGGGCTGGAGATGTTGTGGGTATGGGGTGGTTCGGGTTGGTTGTGAGTCTGGGTGGTGGTTGCGGGTGTATTGTGGGTGACGGTTGAAGGGGTGATAAGGGGTGGTTGGGTAGTGGGTGGAGGAGTAGGGGAAGCTGGTGAGGGACCCTGTGAGTATGTTGGAAAAAGGGGAAACGCCAATGAATGATGTATTTGTGGAGGAGGAAATAGACTCGTAGGGAAACTCATTTTCGACAAATTTGACATAACGAGATATGTAGACTTTATGAGTTTGTGGGTCAAGACAGCGATAACCCTTGTTGGTAGGATGATAGCCCAAAAAAATACAAGGACGGGATCGGGGTTGTAATTTATGAGTAATATGAGGGTGTAACCAAGGGTAGGCAAGATACTCAAAGACGCGGAGGTTCGTATATTTGGGAAGTTCTTGGTAAAGGAGTTGATAGGGTGATTTGTTAGAGAGGGTGTGACTGGGCATTCTGTTAATGAGGTAGTTTGCGGTGGCTAGAGCTTCTACCCAAAAGGAGACAGGGAGATGAGATTGATGTAGAAGAGTAACCACCGTTTTAATGAGATGGCGATGCTTACACTCAGCCACCCCATTTTGTTCGGGAGTGTATGGACAGGAGGTTTGATGTATAATTCCTAGGGATTGCAGAAACTAGCCAAAGATGTTATTTACATATTCCTTTCCATTGTCACTTCGAAAAAGTTTAATATGAGAATTGAATTGTGTTTTGACCATTTTTTCAAAAGTGACAAAGGTGGTGTATGCCTGTGATTTGTGTTTTAGTGGGTACAACCAAATGTATTTTGTAAAATCATCCACAAAACAAATATAATAGCGAAAACCAGCAAATAAAGGAACAACAGTAGGACCCCATAGGTCAGAATGAATAAGTTGAAAAGGTGCAGTTATACGTTTCTCAGATAAAGTAAAAGGTAATTTATGAGATTTAGCAATTGAACAGGAGTCATAATTGTTTACATGAATGGAAGAAAAACCTAATTGAGACATTAAAGAATTTATTATTTGAGTAGACGGGTGACCCAACAACTGTGCCACAACAGACTGTGGCCATCAGCCGAAAGAGCCACCGGAGCCACAGGAACGCTTTCTGAAATTGGGTGGGCAGACGAACTTGTGCCAGGAAGAACGTACAGACCATGCTCACAGGGGCCCTGAAAAATCACCCTCTTGGTAGTATTGTCTAGGATCTTAAAATCATTAGAGGTGAACAAAAGTGAGCAATTATTGTCTTTTGTGAATTGGTGAACTGAAAGGAGATCGGTTTTAATAGAAGGGACGTGGGTAAGGTTACCTAGGTGAAAGATAGCGGTGGGGGTTTTAATGGTACCCGTGCCAGTGTGAGAAATTTTAAGGGACTCACCGTTGCCAACAGTAATACCATTGGAGCCATGATATGGATTTGGAGCGTTAAGCTTGGACAGATCAGAAGTAACGTGCATGTTGGCCCCAGTATCCAACAGCCATTCAGAGGAAGGGTCGGATTGAGATGCATAATTGGCACGGTTATCACTATTTTGGCTCTCCTCATACCGAAACCAGCAATGAACAACGGTGTGTCCTGTTTTCTGACAGATTTGACAAGTTGGACGATCCCGCTCGTAAGTGCCCTGCCCGCCGCTGGAAGATGACTGGCCGCCGCTGCCGAATGAGTGCAGGCTGTTGTTGCTGCCGTGCTGCTGACCGTCGTACGGAGGACGACTGCCCTGCCGACCGCCGCGCCGCGACCTCCGCTGTTTCTACTGTAGCCGCCGTGGCTCCCCTGCCGGCCACCACCATGCCCCCCCTGCGATAGTTCTGGCTTGCGGTGAGGGCGGATGCCGGCTCCATAACAGCGGCTTCTCGGAGAAGAAGTTTGTTCTCCAGATCCACGTTGATTTCTTCACTTTTTAGTCACGAGGAGAGGGTAGCCAGGTCAACGGGCGTTGAACTAATGCGAACCGCCTGTTTAATGGAGGAGTAAGCTGATGGGAGCCCCCGAACGACGCACATGACGAGATATTTTTCGGGAATGATTTCGTTCACGGTGTCGAGGGCTATGATGATGGTGGAGACCTCATCTAAATACTCCGCCATAGTTTTCGTGC